AAAATGTTGAGCGATATTAAACATTGTTAAACTTAATTAAAAAACCCTGATAAACAAGGTTTCAAATAATTTCTAATAGTTCTGTTGAGAGCGAAAATTATTTAATCCTTAAAAATATTTATGACATTGTATGTATTAATTTTAATTTTTGTAAATATTTTCTTAATGTAAAAGCTGAATACGATTTTAGAATTGAAATTGCTAAATACTCGATTATCATAATCTCTTAATTCAAAATTATCGTTATCGAATTTTATTTTCAATCTTAATTATATTGTATATTCTTTGCATACGCATTACATGATGTGTTGTCTTTTATTTATTTTTATAATCTCAAACATGGAATTCATTAGACTCAAAAACTGAAAATGAAAATTTTAGGAGTTAAGTCTAACGAAGGATTTATTGGAATTGAATCGACTACATTCAGATAAACTACAAAGATATTGAGAAAAAATTGGATGTTTCACTTATTTTGGTGAAGATATTCCATCGTTACCATATTCTTCGAAATGTCAGATTATTGATTTTTTCTATTAGTATTTTGAGACGAGAGTCATACAGCGATGACCTTTACCGTTAATAAATATCATAAAAAAACGATCATCTTCGTAGGAATCAGCTAAGATTCCGAAGTCTATACAAAATATTCACCATACTTCATAAGACCCACGAAGTGCATAATATTATCCGGAATGAAAAGCGATTAGCCAATCACCAAGATTTTCCTTATTTAAACATAGAAAAACAGATATCTATTCTAATAACTTTAACTAATTCTACTGATTTCAATCAATCCTCAAGGTACATATTCAATTACTCGCACGTAGTTTTATTTCTATCAGAATCGAATAGAATAGAATGTGGTGTAAAATTTCATCGATCACATTTGACTTCTGTAGATGTAAAATAGACTGAAAGGTAATACGTTTACTTTTTGTTTTTATCTTTCTATTCGAATAGAATAAGTAAAGAATAATATCACTTAACGTTGCTCCTAGAAAGTAAAAATTAAAATTTTGAAAAAATTCATTAATCTACAAATAAAAGGTAAAACTAATATTCATTCTTCTAATTGCTTAAACATAATGATATTTATTATCATTCATTCATTATTTGTCTATCACTTTTTTAGTTTCATATTTCATATTAAGAGGATTTGCAAAAGTTCAACGAGACAGTTTCAATGATGTTTTCGTCACGAATGTTAATTTACTTGTTGATTGTATTATTGTTGTTAATTTATTATTGTGAAGCACAACACGAAATACGCAAAGCAATAAAAACTAAAACTAACAGAAAAATTAACGAAGGAACACAAGCAATTCAACGTGGAAAACAAACCATTCGGCGTGCTAAGAATCAAGCACGAGCACCATTTGATCAAGCAAATTCAAAAATAAACAAAAAATATCAAAATACACGAAGAAAAATGCAAGCCATAGAAAACATTATAAAATCGTAATTTTTTCTTGTAATTAATTTTCAGTTTTATATCGTGCTGTAATTTGCTGAATTCTTATTGATCAATAATGCCGTAGATATTCTTAATTACTTTAAATAGATGATATTTACGAAACATTATCAATATATTCTACTCTCTTATATCTTATTCTTATCTTGTAGAGATATTGCCGGCAATTGATTTAACTTTAAAAAAAGAACACTTTTAATATCGAACAATTTTGTCTTTTTTAAGGCCATATTATAAAATAAATGACGAATGTTATTTGATTCATATTGATATACATGCAATGTGATGATTTATTTTTAAAACAATGATGATTAATCTTAACTAAACTACAAGATATAATTCATGAGGTGATATTATTATATTTGTTCATTTAGTTGAACAAATGGTCATTGTATTCATTTTAGATAAATTTTTTAACATATCTCAATCGCCTTGGATTTATACAGAATTCTTTACTTTGTGAAAGAGAAAATTTTCAAAAGGAATAAATTTTCTAATTTACCAAAATAATAGTTCACGCTCAAAAACTCGACGAAAATATCATCGACAAATTCTTATCTCTTTGAATATTAGTTTAAAACATAGGATTTTTTCTGAGTATTTTTCTATTCAATTCAATGATCTGATTGAACATATGCTAAATATTTTCACAGAAAAATTAATCATGAACAGAATCAACCAAGCTAAAGTAATTTAACTTCACGTTTTGTGTGATCGGTAAGATGATCAAAATTTTAATAAATAAAAAGGAGTCTATTTCAAGTTTGCAAGAATTGAAAGATTAAATTAAATTAAACCATCAAATTCAGTTTTAATTAGAAATAAAAACAAATAATAATTTCTTCAAATTTATCTTACCGAAAACAATGGAGTAGAAAAAGAACAATCTAAATTTTCATTCTTAGCAACAATTATAGTATGTTAAGGTAATCAATTAAAAACTAAAACTAAAGTATAGAGTTGATTAGTTTGACCAAATTACACATATATATATATATGTTGATTAATAAAAACACTCAATTGTCAAAAAATCACATTGAAAAGCATCTATTCATATTTTTTAAGTTATTCTTGAGCTAAGTATTGCTTTCTTTTAAAATTCTGATATAATTATAATTTTGCCGATAATTATAATTATTGTATCTCGCTAGCGACATTGAATGCACTTAGACATTTTTTTTGATTAAATCATCATAGAAGCCAGACAACATTAGGAATTTTCCAACAAATTAGAGCCAAGATTCACAAACAAACATGTTTTCATCAGCAAAATCTTTTATGAGAAAAATAATTCTAACAGTAAATTTTCAGAAGATCTTTGATAATTGTTATAGGATTCTATGGATTTCTTAAAAATACAGTATAATAAATACTCCCCTGTTGAAATCTATAAATTCAAATAGTTTTTGTCCTGCAGTACGCGAAGAAAAGTTATTTTTCTTTTTTAACAGAGTGAAATGAATGGTCTATCTAATAATGTTGGTATAAGATGAAGCGTTGCACCTGAAATTCTGATGTCACCAACTCAACTTCCACATGTAGATCAATAGTAACGATTATATTGTTCTTTTATAGTAGCACTTCATTTTCTTTGTCTATTACATTCGAAGCAACGTAGAAGAGTGTAGAAATTGTCATGAGGATACGTTTTCCTAGATATACACTATGTATATTAATCTTGATAGGACATGTTTATAGTATCACACATTTAAAAATAGCAGCTTTAGAACTTTGAGAAAACCATCTAATTTTAGTCAATTTTTGAGAACAAAAAGTTGTGAGAATAATAGATTTTAACAGGGGAGTATTTATTATACTGTATATTTAAGAAATCAATAGAATCCTATAACAATTATCAAAGATCTTCTGAAAATTTACTGTTAGAATTATTTTTCTCATAAATGATTTTGCTGATGGAAACATGTTTGTTTGTGAATCGTGGCTCTAATTTGTTGGAAAATTCCTAGTGTTGTCTGGCTTCTATGATGATTTAATCAAAAAAAATGTCTAAATGCATTTAAAATCAGTATTCATCGAAATTTGAAACAGAGTGAGAATGCATCACAACATAATAGTATTAATTAATGACAAAAAAAAGAACTTTGAGCAAATGTCTGCAAAAAAAATGTAAGACTTCATATCTATTTCGGAGGGAATAATTGTTAATCAATTTTATAGCTTTATTATTTCAAGTAGCTCATTTTCTCTATTATTTATGGCCTATCTTGAGATATATTTGATGAGAAATTTTTCTGATTTATTAAATCTTAATTTGGCAAGATAATTCGCAGACGATTTTGTTTCGTTTCTTAATAGTATCTATGCAGTGCTAAGTAGACTATGTATGATTCTTTTTATGAAAATTACGTATAATTCCGAAGAAAATAGTTAGCAGATAGGTAAATGAAGGTTTTTCTGACTTTCATGTTTCATTCTAGGCTCTAGCAATTGTGGATACATGAGAAGAGGCGAAATTGATGGTTCTTTGATTTATACTTTATCATACTAACAGGTAGAAGAGAGAATTAAGAGAACAGTAAAATATTGTCGAGAGTACACGAGGACACTTCAATGCAATTATTTTGGAGTTTATGTTTTCCGATTTATATTCTGTAATTATGATATTTTATAATTCTCTGTCATCTCGTTGCAATGAACTCTACGAACTGTAGTTAAATATTAAACATTTCATTTAGAAAATATTTCAATTTTGTAACTATTTTGATTAAAATTAATTATTATTAATTAAAAGTCAACCATAAAAACTGAAATACATCATTGTTCACAGAAATAATAATATGTAATATATGGTTTACTTTTTGTTAGCTTATGAATAGAATAGTTGCTGAATGAAAAGTTCTAAGGCGAAATAGTAACGAACGAAAAATAATTTTATTTGAAAAGTAACTGAGAATTTATACCTTAATATTTTCTTAATGTACGACTGGTTAGATACTTGTTTTTTTAAAAGTGAAACGTTATAGCTCTTATAAACATCTACAGTAAAACATTCAACTGTTAGGAAACATAAAATAATTTTGGTACTTAATTGAATATGTTTATTTACAAATGATTTAGTACTAACTATGTTGATTACGTTTCATTAGAGAATCGTATTTTATTTTAGAACGTAGTCTATAAGTCCTATAAATTAGCACTATCATGAACTGCACAGACAACTTGTTTTTTTTGTGGAACATTCAAATTGAGACAAATACTTCAGTTGCATGGGTTGCTCATAGACACTCTCAGAAATTATTATACATGAAAGATTCATTTGAAATGTTTATTTTTCTTTTGTTCACAACTTGTTGAGGTAGATTTGGTGATTAGAGAAATTGTAAGATTAGTCTTTCTTTTTTAATTAAAATGATATAATAACAGATAAAAAATGAAAGAAAGAAACAAACAAAAAAATAAAAGAATATTTTAACTATTATGAATGGTATGTTAAAAAATGAACCGGTTTTATTCGTATTTTAAACGACTGATTTCGAAATTAATATTACTAGAATTGACGAATGATTTATTTATTTTTAAACGAATCAAAAGTTTGTCTCAATATATCAGGACGATCCGTAAATAAAATATCAATACCAAGTTGAATCATTTCCTGTTGAACTTTCGGATCATCGAGAAGTGAACCGACTAAAGCTAAAGGTTTTCCTGCTTTATGTATTGTATCAATTAGATGTTGAGTTAACATTGCTCGTGTCTGTGGTTCAACAAAAAAGCCAAGTATATCATGTTCATACATATAATTCTCATCCAGTTTGCCTTGTTTATAATCTTGAGAAATTTTCATCATTGTTTCAATATCAGCACAAATAGGAATTGATGAAAACTTGTGTTTTTGCAATTCTTTATTTATTGTTCGATTCACAGCACCGAAAATAACACGATTTTCAATGTTATATCGTCTAATAGCATCAAGTGTTAATGGAATAGCCTTCGTATCTTTCATATCAAAGAAAAAAACTATAGACAATATCGGTGTAAATTCAACTAAAATTTACATGTTAGTTTGTTAAAATGAAAAAAGCTCATTACATACTTAAAACTTGATCAAGTGTCACTAATTGTGAATCAAGTTTTTGTAATTGCTGAAGTGTACTTTGATTAACATTTATTCCATCGATAATTCCATCATGATTAATAACAAGATGTTCATCATCAGTTTTCCATATATCTATTTCAAGAATATCTGTTCGAGCTTCATTAACAGCTTGACGATAAGTTTGAAGTGTATTTTCCTTTCCCCAATGGCGTCCACCGCGGTGTGATCCATGAATAGGTAATGATGAAGAAGTAAATTGAGCAAAAACTGGAAAACGAGTTGATAATTCGGGCAGTGATAACATTTGTTTTGCTTATGAATCATTCATTATTGCGTCTTTTATAGGTTGTTGAGTTGAGTAAAAACATATGTCGAGAAATAAAAATAAAAAGAGATCAATGAATGAATGACAAATGTTGTGATGTCGCCTCACATAGATGGCACTACCTTCTTTAGATCAATGCTCATATAAAAGATACAATAATAGTCATAACGATAAACATGCTTTTTCCTGAGTATTCTGGTCACCCAGAGAGAAGATAAAAAATAAATCCTGAAAATATCAGTTCTACATGATTCCAACCAACATGTTCAGTCATTATTTTCATGGATTAGAAAGTTAAATTCCAATATAATAAATTAAGTTTAAAATAGATTTAATTTTCCTGTCACCTCTATTGAAATGCATGTTTTGATCAAGATTTTATAAATTTTTATTTACTCATAGAAATGAACCATTATCTTTGAAGTATACAAAAATAAATTATTCAGATATGGATTCTACAGATGGTAACAGAGAGAAAATTCACGTTACTTTTTATTCTATCTAATATTTCTGGTTTATGTCCTATAGACGGGATTGAGAGAGTTTGTCATCTTCTAAATTATTTATTTGACTAAAAATGAAAGATTGGATTAGGTATGTAGATAAAATATTTCATTGATCCATTCTAGACTAAAACTTCAACTTTCGTGATTAATTTCAGTGCTAATATAAAAGTACTTTGTATGAACTGTATATTCAAATTCATTCTATGATTTTCAGGACATACAATAGAATTAGCGTAACATTAATATAGTCGTTGTTTTCCTAATCATTTAGGTTAATGACTATGTACTGATGAGTACAACAACTACACTTTTTTTTAAATGGTCGGAAACAAGTATCATTAACTAGCAAAAATTCAAGTCAAAATTGTAAACTACTTTTAAACAAAATAAAAAGAACTTCATATGACATGGATAGCAATGAAATCAGAGATTTAAGATATATTATGTACGCTCAGTAGATATTATTATTATTAACAAATAAAATTTGTATCACATCGAAAAATACTATAGATAGATAACATAATATTTGAAAGAAGCATTTTTTCGAAGCAAAAAAAATACGTAGAAATTAATTCTCTAAGAAATCTTCATGATGATAATAATTAATATTGATCGAAAAATGAATAACTTCATTTTCAAAATATTGCTTTGATTTCGAATTAACTTCAAATTAAGAAAGAAAAACAACTAGATAGAATAATTTATATTTAATAAATTACAAAAAAAGCGCTCATTTTTTAATTTAATTTCAAAATCTATTTTGTCGACATAAAGACAAAAAAAACGATGACGTCAATGTCACGTATGATTTATTCTCTTAATTGTTTGATGCGTGACAAATAATAAATAAGGGATAAATGCTTGATATTGTTCGAATGATCGATGTTAGGATTTAAACAAATATTCATATGACGATAATGACACGGTCACCGGATAGAAGAATAAAAAGAACTCGAGAAAGAAGTAAGAATAAAACAACACACATCACAAATTGGGCAAGTCATGTATATCGAAAGAACAATCTCCAAATGTGGTTCGTTCAAAATCAAGTATTGCTTCAACATCTAAATCAAATGTTGAACTTGGAATTGGTTCTTGTGTATGATTAGGCATTTGTAAATCCATCGATGACGCTGGCATTTGATTAAATAAAAGATTTGTTGATGGTGACGGTGAAGGTGATGGAATCGATGGTGGAGTTGAAAGAATTTTTCGTCTTTCATTATTCGATTTTGATTTATTCATCTGATGGCGCATTATCGCTACGACCATTCGACGAAACAATGGACTTGAACGATCCATTGTTTTCAATTGTTTACTTAATTTTGATGATATCATTTGATCTATTTCATAATCGCTATGAGATGGTGACGGAGATTGTGAACTAACTGAAGGAGATTTTGATAATGATGAATATGTACTATCAATACCTAAAGAGAAATCAATTAAGAAACAAAGAACAAAAAAGTTTTTCTTTTTCTCAAAACAACTAAACCTGAATTAAAATTATTGTCATTATTATTATTATTATTATTATTATTATTATTATTTGATGTCGAAGGAGGTGATGATTTTAACATATCATGTAATATATTTGGCATTGGTTGTGTTGATACATACGATGGGTCTTGAGAATTATTTTGTAAAAGACTATATAAATTTTTATTCATATCTCTAACAGATGTAAATGATCGTTGATTTGATGTTGATGATGAATATATATCATTTGATGATGAAGGAATTTGTTCATTAGAAAACAAATAATCAAATGATGTTGGATTTGAATTGTCATTGGACACTGTTTTAGTTAGACGACGTCTTTCAGTTTTTGTAGAATTTTCATTTGATTGAACTCGTCTTCGACCACGAACTTGTTTCGCTCGAGGATCAATTGTCCACCAACTTGATTTACCTGCTATTTCATTTGGAATACGAACAAATCGATTATGCAATGATAAATTATGACGAATAGAATTCTAAACAACAACAAAAAACAGAAGTTTTCTTTATTTGTTTATTTTCTCTTTTGAAGAATAAATGAATGAAATAATACCTTCCATCCTGTGCTACTTTTTCTATCTCCTTTATCTCTAAAATAAGGAACATATTGAATCATCCATGAATAAATTTGAGAAAGTGTTAATCGTTTGTTTTGACTATTTTCAATGGCTTTAGCAATTAATTCAGCATAAGATAAATTTCCCCAAGCATTTTTTCTTGATGTTTGTGGATCATTTAGGCCAAGTTCTTTTTCAATTAATAATGCTAATCTTGGATCATATTCTACAGTTGCTCTACAATTACTAGTCGATGTTGCTTCTAATTGCTCATCTGAAGGAAAATCTTCATCTTTTTGTACTTGCTCACAAAAATCATCAATAAACGATGAATGATAATTAGACGTGGTACTAGTTAATGATGATGAGTATAAATGTTTTCCATTTGAATTTTCATCAAAATCATCAAGAATAGAGGAAGGACTTGAAAGCATCGATTTGACCTGCAAACATAAAAAATACGTTGATTTTTCTTTCTTAGATGAAACAAAATAATAAATTCCACAACCTATTCAAAGTGTTCATCAAGATAGTTTTCGTCTATCATAATAATTTGATCTTTTGATGAGATTTGTCACCATTTTTGAGTAGAAATTATAAAACAGCTGGTGCATAGGATTATAACTGATTTCTTTTTCTTTTTCTTTTCTTCTTCTTTCTTAATCAAAACGAATGTATGATGTACAATGGAAGATCTTTTTCTTTCTCATTAGAAAGGAAAAAATAGAATATTTGACATTGATTTTTTTTTCTCAGATCATACTCTACAAATATTTTTTTTTATCATAGAACGATAAAATGCTTTTTTTTATCCCAAGAAAAATGAACGAAACATTAGGGGGAAAATAAGAACGATGTTTTCTTTATAATGATAAAAGAAAGAAAAGATTATTTCAATGTTAGTAAGTAAATGACGACCTTCACTAGGACGTCTATAAATGAATCTCATATAAATCATTGACATAGTTTTTCTCTTTATTTGCTAAGATATTTAATCAGAAAATTTGATATATTTTATTTATGGAACAAAAATCTGTTTTTTATTTCAATGATTGTCTTAGTCGATTTGAATTTCTTTTTATCGATGACATAATAACGTCCTTGAAGAGCTGGTGTACTCGTGCTTTTAACAAACGGCCTTGTTCGTTCTTCGTTTTTTTCTCATCGGCGCGTCATGCGCAAACAATTCTTGAGCTCAAGGCCAAGCGACGCGCCAGAGAATAACATCGATTCATGTTCAAGGTTGCAGATAAGAAATTCATACAAGATCTCATTTTTTCAAAATCTTCTTTCTTTTTTTTATTAAAATTAAGTAACAGAATTTCTTTTACTTACTTATTCGACGATGACTGAGTATAATTCGTTTTTTTCGGACTTGATTACACAAATTAAAAACTTTGGACGAAAAATGTTGAATATCGATAAAATGATATGAAATAATATCTAATTACATTTATTAATCTAGAAAACAACGTGTCCAATATGTGAATCCAAGAATAGTTTTTGAGATACAAAATTTTGCTTGACCTTGTCATTCAAGGCCAGCAAAGCTCGACAACAACTACATAGGACGTATGAGCGTCGTCACTGCTAGCGGCTCGCAGACGCCGACAGTCCTTGAACAAGAACGACAGCGGTGTTGGTGGTGGCAGTCAACGACAAAGAGGGAGAGAGGGAGAGAGAGACCGTCTTTTGGAGAAACAGCTTATTTTGCCTTTCTTCTCTCATTTTTTTTCTCTTTTCTATCAGCAGTGATGAAGGGAAAAGAAAAAAAGAAGCAAGGGGAAGGACTATATCGTTGCCTGACGCTCTATTTCTCTCTCTCTCTCTCTCTCTCTCATTCGGTATTGTCGTGTCGAGCTTGTTAGTGATGGTGACCAATATAGTGAGAGTAAAGAAGAATGGGTAAAAAACCTTTTTCTGTCTGCTATAGTACACGGGTGTGTAGCGAGAAACGACCTTGGAATGCATAACGAGTGGCTGCCGAAGGTCTCTTTGTTTGACGCAAAGAATCGTTGTTGACGCCGTTGATGAGGATGATACTCGATTACTCTACTCTCTTTCTTCATTCACATAGTCTTTTTTTCTTTTCTCTTTCATTCTACCGATGTGTCGATGGATGAGAAAGAAGAATGAAAAGAGAACGATCATCTGACACACTTGCCGTGTACACGAAAAGCTTCTTCATTGCTGCGAGATCACCATTTATGGCTATACTACTACTACTATCATTTATTCAATACGAGTTTGAGCACTATTTGCTCTTTATTTCAATCACTATGAGTGACAATGCCAAAGAAAGAAAGAAAGAAAAATATCATTTCAAATTATTCATCAATTTTATATTTAAGGCTCTCATTGAACTGTATATAAAATATAAAATAAGATCTGTAGAATATCAATCGATTATTGAAATATTAATTTTTTTTAGCAGGAAAACATCAATTAGTTAACGTCAACTCTTAATTGATAGTTGAAGAAGTATATGAATACTTTTGAGACTTGATGATATTCCTCGATCGTACTGCCTCCGAAATTTCGTTCTGAAAAAAATTAGCATTAAAATTTTAATTGTAAACTACAAAATATTATTTTTATAAAAATTTCATCTAATTATATTCTACAATGTAAATATTTCCTCTGTTAAAAAGAATTGTGACCCTGATAAAGGCTCAGATAGAAACTTTTGATTTCTACATAGCAACGTATAATATGTTCAAACTTTAAACCAAAGGTTGTAGCAACACCGATTTTTCAAAGCATTGCGTACTTATTTCCAGACTAGTTCAATAATAATTTCATGTAGAAGCAACTTTTTAGATGAAAAAATTTCGTTTTGCAGTTAATATGAAGTAATTTTTGAAGTTAGTCAAAAGATTTTGATCAACATGATCTAACAATACCTGCTCTCTATAATTCACTAATGCACACAACATCGAGTCACTTATTCGTATTTTCAATGAATTGATTGGTTTAGCTTAGGTTTTGTCGGAAGAATAAAAATCAAATTATAAGTTAAAATTTTTTCTCTTATTTAATTTTCATAATATTTATAAATGTCAATTATTCACATTTTTCATCAATGAATAGAGATAGTACTCTTCATTCAATTTTGATGAATAATCAGAAATATAATTTGAAAGTTCTGCCAATTATTAAATAATCGAAAAATAAAAAAGGTTTATTTTTAGAAAACAAAAAATAATTAGCTTAATGTAGCAACTTAAAAAATTCTTAAATGATTGTGCTCCATACGATTCTATGCCTCCTATGAGAATTCTTTGAAAGCTTGAAATATTGAATACATTTTAGGATTTATCCATAATTGTTATTAAAGTAAAATCCAACACAAAAAATGTTTTTTTAAACATACCATAGAGACAAAAATGTTTTTATTGGGAAAGAAATCATTGTTAAAAACAATATACAATAAAGTAAAACTCTCTTATTTATTTTTGGTTTGTTCAATAGATTATCCACTAGTTTCTCCTGTTGAACGCTGTCGAATTATATTTGATTGTGTAAATAGTTGATATTCTTGATGAAGCTTTTTCGGAAGAATATTTACGTTGATTTTTCGTTGTGCAAGTAAAAATAAACATAATGTTCTTAATGTTGGAGCTAGAAAACAAGATATTATTGGCGAATATTAAACTGATAAATCTATACATACTAAAATCCAATACATAGAGATCACTTTGATCATAAAGTATTGTTCTACGAGCATCAACATCTTGCATTTCATGTGAATGGTTTGCAAACGTTGATGTTGATATTGGGCTTGTTCCGCCAAACATATACATTCGATCATCAATCACAAGACAACATTGTCGTCGACGAGGAACAGGATTTGAAATACCATGAGGTTTTATACGACGCCATAATAATGTTAGTGGATTAAATTCATATAAACCATTAAAATGTAAACCCATTACATTATTATAACCACTAAACATATACAATTTTCCATGATGAACAACTAGAATATTACATTTAAAATAATCAAAAAAATATAATATATCGAAAAATGAAAACAAACAAGCTGAATGTGATCTTCTTCCACATGGTATTTCTCTATTTGCTGTAATCAATGACCATGAAGCATCGTCGGGATTAAAAACATAGAGACGATCATCATAAATATTTTGTGTTGTTTGTTGAGGTCCAATACGATCAAATCGTCCACCGAAAACATACATTTGACCATCTAATTATGTCGCTGAATGAAAATCATGCCATTGAGGAACAACATCGCTGATCTTTAATCAAATAGTTTTATGATTAAAAAAATTAAAGAGTATATTCATAGAATTTAGATGATGTTCAAATCCGCCAAATGAATGCAGAATGATCATTTTTTCCACCGCATAAATAAAATCTTCTTTTATAAACAACAATTGTATATTCATAGGTTGAAAATGGTGGTTTGTTATATTGTGAATGATTTATTTGAAGTTTTGGTTATAAACACCGTCTTAATGTTTTTGAAGAGAGAGCATCGAATAAGTCCTTAAATATATTTACGAATTAAATTATCTGCCAGTTTTTTTTCAATTCAATTTCAATTCGAGTTAAAAATTCATGTGAAGAAGTACCACAAATACGTACTTTTATATTGAAATATTTCTCCATAGCATATTCAATAGATTCATTCAAGCAGAAATACTTTTTTTCATTCTGCTAAAACATTTTCTCATTTTTGGAGAAATGAGTAGATATTTAAAGGAATCTGCTATCGATTTATAATATAAAATAAAGAGAACTAAATAAATATTTTAATATGAACTACATTTTGAAAAATGTTTAAAACTTCTTTTTTGTTTTTAATTGACTGGCTGAGTCAAAATTTTAATCGAGTATCCACGTATAGTGTTGAAAAAAATTCAATTTTTTATGATTTACATCTTGTTTGATAGAGCAATATGAACACACTAGAATACATTATGGCTTATTGGTTTACTGGTAGCATATAGATCTTTGTGAACACTTCTGCAAAAAAAAGAACATTTTTATCTAACAACTTATTATTTTTGTTTAAGTCTTTCAAAATTCTCTTTCAATATTTGGCAGTGATGAGCATGGCTACTATGGATCAATAAATATACTAAGAAAATGCAACGCCTGAGCAAAAGAAAAATATAATAATTGATGACAAATTATGCAAAGCTTTTATATGAAATGATGGAGAAAAGCTTGCAATCTTTAAACTTATTTTGCATTTTTCTCACATACGAACATTTCATTAAATAGCTCTTAGTGAAGTTCTGCATAAACTTCAAAATGAAGTCAAGTATCAATTCTTGCTGATGGTGATATTACATTGACAGCAACAATCTGAATGCCTAAAGGTTAGAAAAAGAATTCTCTTGTTGTGTTAAGTTTTATGTAAACTATTTTTTTATCTTAGATAAAAGTCTTCAAATAATAAATGAAGAAAAATTTGCAACTATTTCAGCATATTTACCATGCAGAAAATCGTATTCGATTTTGTTTAAATAGATTAACAATAGAATTAAAACGTCGTTATATCTAAGAAATCTTCGAACGATTTGAAAGTTTGCCAAGAACTTGCAATAAAAGAATTATGAAGCAGTTCAATTGGTCGCTTACGTATGTTTGATGAACTTAATGCAATAATAACATTAAAAGTATGTCGGTTGTTAAAATATTTTTAATAATTCTTTTTTAAAGCGTAAATAAGGATAATAGTTCTATTGAATATCTCGATGCCTAATACCGGTTCGAAACGCCTATAAGCATATCTATCAAATAAAAATAATGATCCTCAGACAGCTGGAGTAAAAATAAAAAGAAGCGTAACAAATTACTTTCAAGTTCAATCATCAATTACAGTTGATATACAAATTAAATCTCTAATGTTTACTGAACAATCATCGGCAACATTGTAAATAATTCCTTAATTGAATGCTTATAATGAACATCAATCGTTTTTTGACAAAAATTGGAACTTCACATTTCCACGATAGCACAAGTAAATGTTTTTTTTATTAAATTCAATTTTATTGTATTAGTATTTATGATTCAGAAAAAGTTCACTATATTTGAACCAAGTTTAAACTATAAAATGTAAATCGATTATGATTCTTTTCAATAATTAAACGATTTTTTTAAACTTAAAATTTTAAATTAAACAATAAAAACTTATTTGTTCGATAGAAATTCTATCTCTTTCTAATTATATATAAGAAAGATTTGAAGAAATTACTCATGTCAAACACATTATATGCTAATCCGACGGAAAGACAAATGTTTTACGCAGTAGTTTTTTGCAGTGCAATAATAGATTGTCTACAAAAGAAAACAGAGGGTACTATTGACTTCAATATAAAGTTCTACAAGAAACTAAAATGGAGAAAGAACTTGTAAAAACATGCAGATTAATATACAAGCATACAAAAACCATTATTAACCGAATAACTAGGACACCAGTTTAGATAAATATATCTTTCTTAGCGTATACCGTATCGTCTTTATAGATTTCAGAGACGATTCATCTAATCAGTAGAAAAAAATTCAATTATATATTAGATATTTAATAGATATCTATCGGAAATGTACCAAACTAAAAATATAGTTATGTTTCTACTACTTATGGGAATAATTATTCACATAGATAAGAGATATTGAATGATGACCTCTATTTTCTTATTAAATTTACTAAATCTTTTTGTGAATTACGCCTTCAAGGCTATCCCAATAACAGCCAAAGCTATAGTAAAAATTTAAAGATTTAATAGAACTATTCTGTAGTTCGACCTGATTATTTAAGCATATGTAGGTGCAGATACAAATACTGATTCAGAAAACGTTTTGCTTTTAATACCTATAAGAAAACAAATCCTCGAATCTTGACTTTAACATTGCCTGAGTATGATTCAACTATTGTATGTAAATTTCCAAATAATAAATCAGAATGAAGCACTCTCAAAATCTACTTAAAAATACAGCAGACAAACAACAACAATGATTAATGAATATCTATCATAATTAAATGAAATTAAGAAAAAAAGCTTTTGAATAGTGATTTTTTTAATTTTCTTGTCAAACGATTCACTTGAGAAAGAAAAGTGAATGCAGGAAAAAATTACATTTTGGAATTTTTTTCTAAATATTCTACATATAAGGACTTAATTTTTGCCTTCAATTCATTGTTATTAATTTTTTCGTCGATAAAATCAGCAATGGCACTATTTGTTTTCGACGACAGTGCATTCGACAATTTATAATATTGAATACCTTTTGTTTCCCGTTGATCCTAGAACAATGTATAAAACGTCAATTGGTGAATATCGCAAACGGATACTTCTATACTTATTAACTCAGGCAAGACGGAGTAATTTTTCCTAGAAATGGATCTCTCTAGTAGAGCACTTCAATATTTTGAGCAATGAAATTTTGTTTATTTTTCCATAGCTGTGATCTTATTGATCCTTTTAGCGCAAGTGTGGGGAAAATCATAAAGAAGAATAACAGAGAGAAACAGAACAAAAGAAAAATAAGAAAAATTTTAATTCTCAACATTTCAAAAATCCCTTCTTAAAATTGTCTTTTTTTTTCAGTAGATTGATATGACATCTAGAAACAAAGAAAACTCTTACAGAGGATGTTGATAGTGAAAGATCTTCAGCCATTATTTTCGCTCTTTATTTTATATTCCGCGTGGAGATTTGAATCAACGCTTTCAAGAAGATGCAATAAAATCAATGGAAAAACACTTTTACTATAATTCAACGCTGCTGGTAAATGACAACTAACAATCGTTGTTCACAATGCTTTGCTACGATATTCATTGTTTCTTTCTTTGTTTCCTTCTCTTCATTCTGTTGAGCAGAACATAACATCATTTTGATTCTCACTTCGATTGCTATTGGTCAATCTCCGCGTCGTTCAATGTTGCTGACCTTTTTTTATTCTTTTCTTCCTTATTTTTTTCTTGAGTTACTCATCTGTTGCAGCCTAATAAGTATAACCATTATGTTTTTTCCTATGTTCTATGATAAATTAGGTAATAGACTTCAGGAAATAAAAACAAATGAACATATTGGAACGACGCAATCCGGACTTCATACCTGGATTAAAAACGGCCAGATTCTGGCTACGTATCTAGATCGGAAACTATTCATATTCCTTCGTTTCCCATCGTCAAAATGAAACGATCGGAAAAGTACTTCGGAATCCTGCAGTAAATGGAAACCATAGGAAACATTGTACGGAATCCTGTTGTAAACGGAAACCGTATCCGCTTATCGGTTCCGGAACCAAGAGTTAGCGGGAAATACCCTGGAAACGGAGACCGGAAAACGCTTTGGAATACTGCTTCCGGAATTCGATGGAAAATCGCCGGATCAGACTGTTTCCCACCGTACGTATTTGACCTGGGCTAATACCGTATTGGTATGATAACATCCCTAACCAAATCTAAATCCAATTCCTGTCAACTCCAGTCAAATCCAGGAATTGGATTTGGTGCACCCCTAGACCTGAGTACAGGAGAGAGATAGACGAGAGACAGGAAAGATATATTATAACAACGGAAAGAGAACATAAGGAGGAAGAAGGAGAATCATCGAAGCGTGCCATCGATATCGACACACTCCTCTAATCAGAGACGTTTGATGGAATTGATACATGAATAATCTCAGAAAAAAAGAGAATACTGATTAATCCGCGATCAACCACTCTGATTTTTAGCGATTACAATTGATCGATTTTCTTTTAAAAATCACGATAAAATCCGATTCTATCGGCGATTATTCACAATAATTCGATTTATCGCGATTTTACGTTCATTTTTCTGAAAATCACCAAAATCAGGACGATTTTCACGACATGGGAAGCTTTTTAGATTCTTATGTGTCATTTTTGACGATTAGTATCAGGAATGTTCAATAGACAATGCAACACGCATTGAACTAGAGTTTTGAAAATAATTTTGTTCTTTAAAATCCTCCTAAGGAAAAAAAGAAAAGAAGTTCAAGTTATTTTCTTTTGTAAATAATTATTTCAGATTGCCAGAGACAGTTTTTGACGGAACACAAGTATGTTATTTTATGACAAGGGTTTCACCAGATTGATCAAATTGACTTCTAGGAAGAAAAGTAAGAGTTACTTGAAGATTGTTTGTCTACATGTCATCACGATCGGAGGAAGAAATTGTTGTTGAATATCGACGGTTACATTATTCTATACATGATGCTTTATATGTTTTATCGTAATAAACGGGAATTTTCTTTGAGCTAAATCATTTGATAAAGTTTTATCCTTCTTTATAATTGGATATACAAAATGATCTTGATGATTGGCAGCTTAGTCAATCGTACGTGTCATCGCTCGTTTATATATTTACTATCGTATAGGTTGTATTATTTTTTTTACAAACTATTTACAACGAAAGTTGCAACAATATTGCTAGATAGCCAAAAATCTTCGATCAAATAAATAGTATAAAATTATTTCTAAATGAAATGGTTTATTGAAGAATTAAGAATTTCTATTGACTACTTGATAAAAATTATTCATTTTTACAGAAATACGTCGAAGATTTAGTGTAGACATTCGAATTTTGTTTTCAAAATATACTTATAGTGTCCAAGTAACAAACAATATTGGGCTCACCTAATTTCTATGGTCATATGAGACCTACGTTCGCACTACACTTAGAGAAATGAAGAAAGAAAGAGTAAAATAGTAGTATTCATGAGTACAGTCGAGATAAATAGATTTAAATATATTTTTCAATCATTACAGCCTTTAGAAAACTAAGTCATATAGGTAGGTGAAATATATCGAAACATGTAGAATGTTTGTCTAATATGCTAAAATGAGTCTGTTATGATTGTCGAACAAAAACTAGATATAGAAGGAGCCAATGTTTTTTTTCTGTCATATGCCAATCTTATTAAAAGACAGCTCCCGTTATAATATTGAGCCGACTAGAAAAAAAGTTTTCTCAAGAAAAATTCTAGCATTTTTCTAGATTACTCTTTATAAACTGAAAGAAAAAACATTGTTAAATAGTAGCTCACATTAATCGTTCATATTTTCTGTGTTAGACGATTTTCAATAAAACGTAAATAGAATCATTTGTTGTAATTTCGATTTCTATATGATTCTCACATTCGACGAGAATAGAATCAATTTGATTCTATTTGATTGCGATCATTACCTATAAACATTTTATAGTAGTCAAGCGAATTTTTTCATAATGTTTTTCTCTTTTATTAGTCTATTTATTATTGATTATTCTACAAGAATAGAAGATGTTTTTTCTTTTGATATTGCCTCTCGTTTTGAATAGAGTTTACAGTATCTATACTATTTTCTACTATCTTCTAATTATTATGAGGCAATACTCTTCACTCTTGATTCTTCAGAAGATAGAAAACTTCAAGAGCAAAGACCAATGAACAACTCATATCATCATGATAATGATCGCTAAACTAGCTATTATATTTTGTTCAAAAACTCATTAGATAGTGTTTAGTTGTGCTTAACTACGATAAAAGCCAGCTGTGATTTTATTTTAATTTTTATTCGATGAATGCAGTTCTATATGTAAGTTTGAATGTTTTGTTCTTCCACTTAGAGAATGTCACTAATCAAAAGCGACATGTGTCGATTAATAAATGCCTAGTATATGATGTTTTGTTCAAGTGGAATAAAAGATACAGAAAACTGTTAAAGTGATCAATAAAACTGTTGACTAAAGAGAAGCATAAAATTTGTTAATCAGTGTCTATTTCGTGGAAAGAATCACGCTCAAACAAAAAACAAAACTTGATCTCTCGTCTAGTTTAAATATCAATCAATTCTATCGATGTTAATTCATTTTATTGATGATAATTCTTTTAAAATATATTCCGTTATTAAGGATATTTAAGCGATGAGTTAAATCCAAATTCAATTTCTTTTTTTTTGTTTATTTGCAGATAATTTTATAAAATAAAATGATAGCACAGTTGCTTTGAGATTGTTCTATAAGTTTAGTATGTATAACTAATCTATTGGTATATGTTATCGTTAATCAATCTGTTTTGTCTTTAAATAAAAATATGAGTGAGAATATTTTGTCAGTTTTTTTTGTTGTAGAAAATATTTTCTATCATAATCATAATAATAATTTATATTCATTTAAAAAGAATAATCGGAATAGTTACTTTTTCTTTTGTTTTATCTCCATTTTTTAATTAATTATAAAAAATATTCAACGAGAAAGAAGTTGAATTAATATATTAGTGTTTTTTTTTCTTTCATTTCATATTAATTATTCTTTGTCTATCATTATTTTTGAGAAATTAATTAAATATAGACTTCAAAACAAAAAAGAAAGGTTTTAATTAGACAGTTACTTGTTAAGAAAAAATATTTCTTATATTTGTGGTTTCATTGTTCTTTTTGTTCTTTGTAATAAATATGTTTCTCTTCTGTCTTTCATTTTCTTTTGTTTTCTCTGTTTTTTCTTATTATGCAGAAGTAAGAAATAGATGGTCATTCGAACCATGTTTTCTTGCTATTATTTTGTCAATGAGAATAATTTCTGATACGGAAGATGTGGGATGTGACATCTTATTTATCGCGTTCCATTCATATATTCTTTAGTTGCGATACTAGAACCAGAGAAATATATATATTTGTATTCGTTCCTCGTCAAATGTGTTCGATAGTATACATTCGGTTCGTTGTATGCAATTATCCTATGTCGAATATCGAATAAGATTAAACCTTATTTGTCTGTTATTAAATTGGAACTCCATATAGCATGATCTATTTTTGTAATTGAGAAAAGTTAACAAAAAAAAAACAAAGAAAATCTTTTGCCAAAAAATAGGTAAGTACAAAGCATTGAATTGAAATAGAAAAGTTAAAGATTTAATTAATCTCAGAATTGAATAGGTTTTTCAGAATGAAAAAAACAATTAAATTTTCTAGATTTAGTATTCATTACTTAAATTCAAAATGACATCTGATAATGATATATATCGTTGGTATGCAGATGTAATTGTTTATCGAGGATTTGGTCCATTAATAGCTTGTTTGGGTACGGTTGGTGGAATATTGTCTCTATTTGTTTTTCGTCGAAAATCGTTAAGAAAAAAATCTTGTTCAATTTATTTTTTTTACTTGGCATTAGCTGATCTTTTATGTATGATTTGTTGGCTTGTACATTTTGTTTTACCGACATATAATATTCATATTCTTACTTTGTCGAATTTTTTCTGCAAAATATTTGTATTTGCCATGTATTTTGCTTTTGACTTAGCAAATTACATTCTTACTGTATGGTAAGTTGTTATTTTTTTTAATTCAATTTTGTTTATATTGTAAATTAGAAAGTACTACATTCGTAACGGCATATAAGTCATAATTTACAATATCTATTTTGTATAATCGAGCGGACAATTACTTCATACGCTTCTCGTTATAAGTATCGAGCTTCTTGACACTCATTTAGATATGAATTGATGTATAATGAGAAGAAGAAAAAGAAAAAGAAAACGTTAACTATCATAGTGTGGCGATGGGAAGCAGGAAATATGTATGAGATCGGTTATGTTAGGAAAACATCAATTTAGAAAGATTAATATCTTGCTGCTGCATTCATAAACAATGTGTAGAAGGCAAATAACATTTCATAGCAAACTATTTTCGTATATAGTCAATGTTTTGGTACATACGGTTTATAGGATTGTAAACAATCATACATCGTAGTGTCCTGATAAATCCTGAGGGGGACGTCCTTAACAAATAATTTTTTCGCTGGAATCTTGACAAGCGCTGCCATGTATGTAAACAATATATAATAGAAATATAAGATCCATCTATAAATCTATTTATGATACAATGAAATAAAAAAAGCGACATAGATTATTTAGTTTTCGATCTGAAGTTTTAAAAATTTACAACTAACGATGCGCAATAGTATTTGAACTGTATTTTAAGTTTGATTTAAAAGAAAAATTGATCTAGATAAGATCTTTTTAATTAGATTTTTTGTTTTTGACAAAAAATCTTATTGATAGTTACGAAATTCCTTATTTGTTTTTATTTGGATGAAATTATGTTGTCATAAACTCATTTAGTTCGATCGATCGTGCGATCAGTGTATTATGTCCAATTCAAAGTCGTAAATTTTGTCGTGAACGAACAGCATATATAATAACATTTATATTAGTCATAATTCATACAATATTAAATAGTCATTTGTTATATGGTTTTGTTGTTTTATCAGCAAGAACAATATCGACTCCTCCCATTCGAATATGTCACCATCGTGTTGATTCTGAAACGTATCGAAATTTTTTTTCTATGTATGATTCATACGTTGATGTTATTAAAACAAATGCTATTCCATTTATAATTATGTTTGTATGTAATGTAATAATAATAATACGTGTATGTCGATCAAAATCATTAATGAAATTCAATGGGAAAAATCGTTGTAGAAAAGCTAAAAAAAGAGTTGAAAAAGATCGCCAATTAACATTGATGTTACTTGGTTCAGCTATTGCATTTCTTGTTTTAACATTACCAACCGAAATAAACGATATTATCCGATCACATTCACAAGAAAAAGTTGTTACAGAAAAGGCATATCTTCTATCTGCAGTACTTCTTTCACTTGCACATCTGAATTATGCCGTAAGATTTTATTTTATTTGAATGTTTTCTTTGTTAAATTTCAATTCAAAAATAACTTTAGATTCATTTTTATATATATACATTAACCGGTGATGTATTTCGTCAACAATTACTTAAACTATGGTTAATTAATGCTGCATGGCCTTATATTGTAGCACTTCGCCGATGTAAATTGTCTCCTTTACCATTAACAAGTGAAACAACTATGAATCAACGAACTTCAGTTAGGAATAATCAAAGTACTCAAATGGATATGTTACCTTTTTCAATAAAAATGAATGATGACAATGATAGTTTGACATAATTTTAAATAAAGATATTAATTTAACATTTACCTGAAACCTATGGTTCTTTTTAAAATTAATTCATACGCTAAAATACTTTTCTTTTTTGTCAATGGCAAGAAAATAACATTTATTTCGGAAACGAATTTATACTTTTTAGTAGACTCACAGAGAATAAGGGGAACCATAGAAGCGTTTAATAGAATGTTTGGATTACTCAAGAGAAATTTTGTCCTGAAACTTTCACACGACCATTTTTCATTACCGAGAAGATGTTTCATTGTGAGGCGTCACTCCGAGTGGGATTATAGTGTGTCCCTAATTAGTTTGTCTCATCTCCGAACTCTGTTTATTTAAAAGAAAAATTCGTTCTGAATTCACTTCAAGAGAACTGTATTCAATCCCGAAATAGATCCATAGAAGAATGCACGAATTCCTCGGATTCTTCCCAATTCTACCGATGCCGACATCTTATTGGCCTATCTGTTTAAATAAATTTCATGATTATGAGCAAATAGTGACATTATTAATTACGGTAATTTTAATTGTCTTTTTCTTTGAATATTTCTTTATTGTTCTAAACTTGGTAGACAACTTTTTTAACAAATACGTGCTCACCAGATGTTTCATCGTGTATAAAGAAGAACTGTTCAACTAAACATTTTATGAGAAAAAAAGAGAATGTTTTAGGTTTGTTGAATAGTTCAGCTTTGCACGTGAATGTGACCATAGAAATGATTTGGAAAGTATTTTTCTCTCGAAGAAAACAACAGTTAAGGAATGCCGATCAGAAGAATTCGAAATCAACATTTTCCATATGGACCTACGCAAGCAGACAAACATTTTGAATAACGTGTTTCAACACCCAATCGGGAGCCGCGATTGTGAGTCATTAACGCTGATTATACAAACGCAAGAAACGCGTGTTTTTCACAGAATTTTCACTTTCAGAGCATAAAAAATGGCTACAAACTACAATTATGAGCGTTTAAACGCACAACTATTCTATAATTATAAAACCATGCGTTTAGACGCTCATAATTGTAGCGTATAGCCGTTCGTACGCTCTGAAAGTAAAAATTCTGTGAAAAACACGAGTTATCCAAAATATTTGTCTGCTTGGGTAGTGTGCCACTCGTTTGTCTTCAAGAAATAGTTTTGCATTCGTTGAGTGCAAAAGAGTGTCCTTATCTATGTGTGACATCATTATTACCTCCTCATCTATGTTGTGATTACCTTCTTATCTATGTTAGTATTTCCTTCTTTTCAAGGTTGTGGTGTTAGTATTACCTTTGTATCGATGTGATAACGTTGTGAGCCAACACTGCTTAAGGACAATCCTCTCACCATATAAAAGGGATGCGAAGAATGCTTGAAAGTCAGTCTGGCGTATGTGTGCTTTCTTCTGCACTTCCAAATAAATAGTCCTGTAACGACTCAAAATCGTTACAGGTAGTACGGAAACAAATTGAAATGGAATAAATCAATCATATATATAGCATGATTCAAGTTTTCAATCGACTAAAATTTGTAAGAGAAATATGAATTTTCCATTGTTATATCAAGAAATTTTTTCTTCTCAATAACGAAATTTATCGTGATTTATTAATTAATTTAAATGTAATTTCTAATCTAATTCTGTAAAAAGACTCAGAAAGCCGAAAGATTTCTAGTAGATGGTATGAATAAATTTCATAAAAAATATCTAAATCGATAAAAAAAATGAATCAACTGAAAACGCTAAAATGAAAACGTTTTCTTTTTGTTACTGTTTCTTGGAGTCTATGAAAGTTTTCAATCTGGTATGAGATAAATTATGTAAAGTTTATGTCATACAATCAACTTATCTATAGTGCATCGGGAATATATCAAAATCAGAGGTATTTTACATCACATAGAAATACAGGAAACAAGACAGAAACTACTAGAAATAATATGAATTAATCTATGTATCGTTGATAGAACAACAGTATAGGTTAGGTTGAAATAGTGGAAAGTCGATTCGAAATTCCATGTAGATTAACAAGAAAACATATATTAAATGAAAGCTTGAACTTAAAAGAAATTTCTCTTAGACTATGCAGAAAATATTATTGAAGAAACCTAACGGCATGTTTTATACTAATACCCATTATTATCATTCTCTTGATGGGGTGTTTATATCACGAGAATCTGATTGCTCATTTCAACTTTTAAGTAGATGCTTCTTTTTCTTTTCATGCATTATCGAAATCAACATATTGCCGACTAATTTGATAATATATATGACTAAAAATATCTTTCCATATACTTAGTTATCTGTCATTTTGTAAAAAAAAAGCACGATATGTTATCGAAAAAGTCTTATCAATATGTCTCTTCTTGCTCATTCGCTTTTTTTTCCAAAATTCAGCAGAATTGTCGGACTTCAATTTATCAACTTTATTCAAATGTTCTCCAACATATCAATGGTGATTCAATACAATAAGAAACAACTTTAGATTTATGCAAAAACTTCCAGTCATAAATAGTAAATCAGATTTCAACTAATAAAAAGATTGAAGAGCAGCTGATCTTTTTTTCTCTCTATAAGCCAATTCGATTCTTAGTTAGCCGTGTGAAGGGCTCAAATTCCTATAAGATTGCCATTTAAGATTACTAGACTCTGAGTGGTTGATTCTTTTTTTAGTTGATATTTTGAGTGTGCACAACGAAAACATCCACAATAAAATACTTCTAAAGAAAATTCGAGCTATTAAATTACTATCGAATGGAATATAGAGAAGATAATTTAATAATATGTTTTTAGTTAAAACTTTGTACTTACGCAGATTTTTTATTTTAGAAAATCTTCTGAAAATTTCAGTAAAAATAATTTTTTCCATCTTTCGCTATTGAACGTTCACAAAAGACGAAGATGACTCGATTGTTGTTGAATATCTTGAAAAATAATGTCAAAACAATTACTTTGACTAAATCCTTGACAACATAGTAGGATCATAAGAACTGTTAATGGACAACGAAAACAACATCAGTACTTTCTTAATGTTGCAAAGAGGATGATTGCTTACAAATCGTTTTTGTATTTTATTAATGAACGAATCATTTCTATATGTACAAAACGTGTGCGAAAACTTATAAAATCATTTCAATCAGTTTGCTTATCAGTTAAATCTAATACAGCTCATTGTCAAACTAGAATTATTATAATAAAATACATTGTTTTACTTAGAAAATAGATAAAATATTTTCAAAAGCGATGAGTATTTTGATTTCGAACAAAGAACCCTAAGAGTTCAATCAAAAATTATTCACTTATTGTTTATTTTTCGATAATAATCGATTATAAAAAAAATCGAAGATCTGTGTTTTGTGTATTCATCCATTCTTGAAACAAATAGGTAGTTCAATATACAGATTATAAAAAGCACCACTCAAAAAGAAAAAGAAAAAGAAATAGAAATGATCTGGTATTTGCATATGACTAGATTATGCTTGCCGTTGAACATTGTAATATGAAGATTGATTTGGTGGTGGATAAGGTATAGTAAATCTTCGAACAACTGGCGGAGTAAATTCTGTTTTCGTTGAATTCAACTTTGGAAAATCATTTTTTAACTGTTCCGTAACACCTGCCACTACTTTTTCAACAAATTTTTGCGAATCAGTTAAATTATTTGAAAATCTTTGTCGACTATATGATGATGAACATGAATTAGAACTGTCAATTATTGGCGATTGATGATTTGTGATTGATCGCGCGGAAGAATTATTTTGATTACTTTTATCGGAAGTTTTTCCTGGACGTGAATCACTCAAGTCGATTAGAGGTAAATCGCCTGCTATTATTGGTAGACTTTTTGGAATCGGTGGAGGCGCTCGAGTTATTATTGGTTTATCTTTCATGTATCCATTCAATTGAAGAACATTTGATACAACTAAAATTTAAATAAATAGTATGATTTGTCTAACAAAGTTATAAGTGACTACGATCATTTTAATAATAACTGTGCCATAAAATAGATCTAAAGTCAGATCATTTCTACGATTATGTATACTCCAAAACCATTCTCGAATGAAACTAAATGTTTTTGCAAACAAAAAAGATATCTAATAATAAATATTAGTAGCATTGTAAGCTTGATGATTGTCAAACATATTCATTATTAAATTCATTCTCATATATTGGTACGATCATCAGAGTGTTTTTATGAAACAATGAAAAGAATATTTGATAAAAGGTGGTTAAAATCTAGAATTATCATTTGTGTGAAAGAAAGTATTATAAAGATATTTTTCTAGTATGCAATATCAATTTATTCTCTTAAATCAAGTACGAGTGAAAGTTTCAAGTTTCGAAATCGAAAAATCATATTTTAAATAAAAACTCGCCAAGTAAACAACTTCTTATTATGAATATTAAATTTTTTTCAAGGCCTCTGTTGTTAATCTAACTTTTCTTTATGTGAAAGTATTCTTCTTTGGAGTCTTTCATATTCTTTTTCGCTGGTTTCTTATAAACTATGAGAAAGTGCATTTTATTTATAATTCGACTGGTATATGTATCGTAAGAAATGAAATTATAATTTGACTTCCTTATTTTATACGAAAATTATCTATGACTAATGTCAAAATATATGTTCTGAAATTTTTCTTTAGTATCGAAGTGAATCATGTATCGCCTCTCTATAATGAATATTTCTGTATAGTGAACGATTTTCAACAGTCGCCATACTTTTCACAAGAGAGAAAGTGACAGAGATTTTACTGTACTATAATCGCTACTATTACTTTATTTTCTACAAAATCATCTAAACGATGTTTTACATATTGAAAAACAAGAATTTCTGTAAAACTAGAATTAGATCTTGTCAAAATTTAATACGATTACTATGAGAAACACATATTTGCTATGCTGCACGTATCAATTTATACGTTATACAATGATAAAAGCAAGATCCTTATTTAACGTCTGTGTTTTTCCAGTCGAATAGATAAAACTTAACAAGTTATAGAACTCACTTTGTACATTATCATGTCTTGCATTCCTATTAATCGGTGTAATTATAGGATTACTTAGAATAGTTCTAAAATAAATTGATAGAAATTTCAATATAAAATATATAAATTATAGAATACTCGTCAATTTTATCGATTTTTCCCCATGAAGGTCCTTGTCCCGTTCCATCACTATGACCGGTATGAATGAAACTTCCACTCACTGGCCAACTTATTTTTTCATTTGTATTTGTTGTTGTTGATGAAAGACAAATTCTTGGGAATAAACCTACTTTTTGTGTTCGATGATTTTGACCTTTCCATATTGGTTTATCAACATAGGAATCAAAAACACTAACAGTATCACCACGTAGTAAAGTTAGTTGATTTATTTGTTTATTATCGCGTGTAACTCGATATTGTATGGGACGGCTTTGATTTAAACGAAAATTTATCTTACTAAATTTTGGTCGATCATTTGGACTTAATGACCAACATAATAATAGGAGAGAGTAAGTTGATGGAGGACAAAGTTCAGGACATCGAAGACGTTCACCAAGTTCTTCCAACGCTTTTAAAATCTTCAATTGAATAAGAATATTTCCAATAAATAAATTTTAAAGAAAAATCATGGAAATATCAAACCTCCGGCACAGAAAGACCAAACCAAGGATCTTCAATACCTAAAGTGAATATTTCCCAAACAGTCACAGCAAACATCCAAACATCACTTGACGATGAAAATTCTTGACGCCGAAGACTTTCTGGTGCACACCTACATATTAATTATTGAAATAAAATGAGTAGATAACGATATTTATGATATATCTTAAGGCTATTTAATTGATAATTATTCAGCTAAATTTGTTCTTTTCCCTTTGCATGTTAATGCTCTTTTTTTGTATGTTTGTCTCGTCAGAGCTAATGAATGTAGCTTCATTTGTTTGTATTTACTATACAGATGATCAATTATATTGAATATTGAACTCTTAACCTATTTGGTACTCTTTTCATCCATTATCATCTGTCAAGAGGCTTCTATTACTGAATATAGACAAAATAAACAAGACATCTTTCTCATATTATTGTTAAGTTGTTCAATGTTCTTAATGATATCCGTCGATCATGTCGGCACAATACAATAAAAAAAGTCAATGTTTTGTCGGAATCAAGTACGTACGAGAGTCTTTTATCTTTTTTATTTTATTTTTTATTTTTCAACAAATTGTCTAAATCAAATACGATTCTTGTATAATTTTTTAGTAATTATGAAAAAATAACAGTTGTTCATTCTAGAATAAATAAAGAACCTATGTGTCAATGTAAACATTAGCATGAAGTTTAGATTCATTACATTTGCTCTATAAGAAAGGAAGTGACATTTATCTTTGATTGCAGAGAGAGAGAGAGAGAGATAAATAACATGTTGTGAATTCTATCTTATATAATAAGTGAGAAACGATCTACCCTATTTTTTCTTTATTCACTAGCGATAATAGACAGGTACATATATTGTTCAGTCAAGAAGTCTTATCCCGTTTGCATTTATTCCTGAGTTTTTATTTTGTTCTTTGTACATGAAAAATCTCTCTCTTGAAATAAATAACAACTGTGCAGTTAGGTTTCAGTATTTTTTCATTTTGAAAGTAAAACAGTTCGTAGAAGAAAAAAACAAAAATATGTATTGATCCATTAAAATCGTCTTTCTCTTAAAAGAATATTTAGATAAGTAATCGAAAACTACTTCATCTTTCTTCTTTTTTTGCGACAAATAAGATTTATTTCGAAGAAAAAATATTAAGCACGATGAAGGCAAAACGAAGCCATAAATTAAGGTAAATTATTTTATTAAAAAAATAGATTTCTTTTTTCTCTGATGAAAACAAACGTTAATCATTATCGAATTATTGATTAAGAGAGATTATGCAATGTTGACTTTGTTTTTCAAACAAAATGAAGTTTTACAATGAATTCTTAAGTATTTACTATTAAAGAAAGAAAAACTGAAGAAGTAAAGCAATGTGTACCTAATTAAACAGGAATATGAACATATTGAACAATGTTCATTCTTCTCCTTACATCTGACATGCCCTCTCTTATGAAACAAATGAGAATATAAGAAATGAACGAAAAAAAACGAAAAAATGCATTGCAATAGGAGAACACACAATTTCTACTCTTCTATATTGACTCCATTCGTTTATCGTATTCTTTCTTTTTTCTTTTTATCCAACTTGTAATAGTTGTTGCTTGACAACGGCACAGGAGAATATCGTTCTTTTGAAGGTTATCTTTTGAACATTTATTCATCTTTTATGTTCTTTCATATGAGAATATTAATCATAATTTACGTTATTTTAGAAAAATGGATTTAGAAGTTGAAATTCCAATATGGTATAATGGAAAAATGAAATGGATATCCAATCTAACAACACGTTCAACATGTTTCGATGTAATTCAAGCAATTCTATCGACAGATGAAAAACATGTTTCTCAATCGAATGAGGATTTTATTCTTTACGAATCGTGGTGTGGTGTAGAAAGACCATTGAAACCTCGTTGTCGTCTTTTAAAATTATGGAATTCATGGGCTGGTGAGTCTCAAAATGTAACATTAACACTTCGAACTCATCAACAAAAATCAAGTTCAACACATTTTCTTATTCGACAACAAGATAAAAAATTAGAAAAATTAAAACGACAACTTAAACGAACAGATAAACAAATTGAAAAATTTACAAACGTTCAAAATGATAATAATGAATCCATGTTATCATATTTAAATCTTTATCGTTCAATAATTAATACTCAAACTCAATTAGAATATCAACAGAAAATAATATCTCGTTTAATATCTGATATTGAAAATGAAACTCGAACAGATTTTGATCAAGATAATTTAAAAAAAATCTTATCCGATGTTAATCAAACATTAATTATTAGTAGAGAATTAACTGAAAAATCAGAAGAACTTGATCAAAAAATAACTAAAACAAATGAAGAGATTGATCGAAAACAAAATCTATTAGATGAATTAGAATTAGATTATGCACTTGATCAAAGAATTGATATGGATAGTCTTGATGATGATGATCACGATCAATTAAATTTTTTATTTAAACAAGAACGTGTTAGTACTAAAGATATTTCACCATCTCCACCACTGATTTTTCCACAAAGACCACAAGCAGGTATTTTAAAATATTATTTTATCATACAAATGAGAAGATCTTTAGGATATTTTATGACAATAAATATAATTGATTACATTTCAAAACAGAAAAAAATGAATATCAGACAGAAAAAACAATCAATGATGTATATTTCAATTTCAATTCTATTATACAAGATATTTTTAATTTTTCCTTTCATTAACTATCATTGACCGATGAATATCTGAAACTTATCATTCTTTAAAAGAAAGAATTCCTCTTTTTTTTATGATAATTTGTTTTGTTCAATATTCAGTTGTCAAATTATTCTTTAGTATCATTTCGTCCAACAGCAATAGTTGAACCGAGTCTCTCAAGAAGTAAATCAAAATTTCACTCCGATCAGCCTACGAAAAGTCGAATACAAATAATTCCTTTTCCAATTCGTCATTACAGTCCATGGTCAGTATCAACAAATGACGAATCTGATACTGGTATTAGTTCGTTTAATTCAAATGATGATCAATTAGTAACGCTTGTTTAAAAAAGAAAAGAAAACAACAAACATCATCTTACCAAGCAACTGGAATCGATTGACTTTTAACTGCTCCTGTTTTGTACAAATCACAATCTGACTCCATCATTCTTGCTAAGCCGAAATCTCCAATTTTAATCTAAAATAATTTTTTTTAATGAAAATAATAAATATGATGTGAAAACAAAAACGAAAACCTGCTCATAGGAAACAAGAAAGATATTTCTTGTAGCAAGATCACGATGTACAAATCTTCTTTGTTCTAAATAATCCATTCCTTCACTTATTTGTCGGGCATATTCAAAAAGCATATGTACAAGGAAATGTTCAGGTTCACTACGTAATCGAGATAATAACGAGCCAAGTGGAGCTAATTCTGTTACCTTTCCAAAGCAAGAAAAAAAATCGCGTATCTATTTTATTTTTGAAATGCAACATTTGATATATTACCATCATTAACGGCTCAGAAAGAACAATTCCATGAAGACGAATCAAATATCGATGTGACAAAGTATGCATAGCATTAGCTTCTCGAACAAAATCACTAACAGCATTGCAACCACGAAGAATTTTCACAGCAACAGAAATACCGTTCCATATACCTTGACGAACGATACCGTAATGACCAGAACCTAATGTAGTTGATAAATGAAGAGAGGAAGAAGATATCAGACACGAAGTTGCCGGTGGTGAAGACATTGATTGCTATTAGGCGAAAAGATTATTCAAACAAAAATAGAACATTTGTTTTGTAACTAACAGTATTTGAAGTTTTTTTTGTATATGATCGTTGTTTTCGTTTAACAGCAGCAAATAATCGCCTTATTGCTGGTTTACTCAAACCGATGCGTTCAAGATCATTAGATTGAACATATTCGAAATGAGAAAGTCTTTACGGGAAATTTTTCTTAAGTTGAAATTCAGGAGTCTATCTTACTTTGTGACTTGTAGATCGTCTCGAATTCGTGATAAGTAACCTGAAAGATCGGTTTCAGATAAAACTTCAATAACACGATGAAGACCATCTTCGGTCTCAGTCACAGCCATTATTGTTTTTGGATTTATTGACAAATGATCCGATCAACTTAACGACAAACAAAACGAACGAACGACCGAACGCCAAGTGAAAATATTAGCATATGACTCATTGTTGAGCTGCATATTTTTTCTTTGGATCATTTGCTTAAACAAATCAATGATTTGAAACTCATGTGATTTTTCTGCCATAAATTTTTGCTGATTCAAACGAGCTGAACATTTGACTAGATTTGTTTTTTTTTTGCTTTTTCTTTACATTATTTTTATTCATAAGATGGCGCTATTCGCCAAAGTTTCCTACATCATTATTTATATATTGCACACATGCAATGATATTGAAATAAATATCTATTGTATTATCCAATTAAATATAAAGTAATCATACTAAGAAGACTTTCATCACAGGATAAAATCTAGAATAGTGCTTTGTGACAAGAGAATAATATTTAACAAGTATGTTCGGCATTCCAGATGACATAATTCTTCGAAATTTTACAATGTTAAAATAAATTAATCTATCCATATTTTGGTGTTCGTATAGATTATAGACAGTAACGTGAATCTCAATTTTTTGTTGCCGATGAACATATTCAAACGAAAAGAATCATGATACTTAGGATAATCTACATGAAAAACTGAATAAATGGTTTGTAAGGACGATATTGTAATGTTATATCATTTTAAAACGTCAATCTACTATATCTTTATTGATAGAAAATATTTACGATATAATATTCATTTGTAAAATTTACAGAAACCTATAAATCTTTTAATTTATTCTGTATTTTTTTAAATTTAATTCTATGAGAATTATAAATTTACAAAGCATGAACATATACAGTTAATTATTTTCATTAAATCCAAAAAGACTATTATATTTTTACTAAAATATGTTCAAAATAAAATTATAAAAAAAGACTGTTAATAATTCATTTGATGAGTAGACGAAATTTTTAATGAGTAATTTCGATACATCAGTAATATTTTAATTGGGATAAGAAATAAATGATGAATTTATAAAACAAGCTTTACAGACTATCGAATATTTAACTTTATACTAATAATTTAAGTTATTTAATGAGAATTTGCATATAAAATCAAACAAATTATTACTAAACATCTAGAAGAAAAAAACACGTAATCATTCAACCGTTTTATCGTTTTCTTTTACCTAGATATGATCTTCTGTCAATGAGAAATCTGTTTTTGCATGAGATAAAACTATTTCAATTAATTTGAATATTGTTACATTGATAAATGCTTATACCTATCAGCATATTCTATCTGATAGGTGCACATATCTAACTTACATATAACATATATATCAATAGTTGAGTCATGAAATAATTTCATTTGTCCACAATATTCGGTTTTTTTGCCCCATATGTAATACTTCATTAGATTCTTTTTTTATTGAAATATCACAGACTTGCTTCATAGATAAAACAGTCAGTTGAAACGATGTTTTTTTTGAAACAAAGCTCTCATTAAGGTGCATGTCCTTATACGAACTTTAGTTAGGTTTCATAATAGCATACGATTGTAAATATAAAACGAAGTATTATTTGTGCTCGTCTTCAATGAATCATTCGCAAAAAGTCTACTTGAAAGGGCGCATTGAACATTGTTCGAAATACCAATATTGCACAGAGAAAATATTTGGCTGTGATCATTTTGATATGTTTATGTCAATATAAGATTCTTTGAAAATATCATGATAGTTTTCAACGAATAATTTATCATAGGCTTCACTAATAGCATCAAAACACTTCTTGTTACTATCGAACTGAAGATCTGATACTTTGTTTGCATCATGTTGAATAATTATTTCTATCCATTGATTTTTATTATTCCCATTCACTCGAATATCCTGTATTTGGAGTCAATTGGCATAAAGATGAATACACAGAGATCGATCTTCGAAATGAAATCATGTGATGCATGTTTTTTTGGAGAAACGAGATGCTCAATACAGTATGTGACTGGTCTCGTGAATAAAAATATGAATGAAATTAATTGAAGTTTTTCTATTTAGCCCCGCTAAACGATAGAATAACGAATTTTTTTAAAAGCTTTCCAAGCTATAGAGTTAGATAAACATGGAAAACTCAAATATTCGAATGTCGTACGATATATTTCCTGTTGTTTATTTCATTATCGGCTGAGAAACTTCTTCGGATAACGTTTAAAAATAATTAGATTGAATCGAAATTGGAAAACTATTTCAATTTGGCTGAAGTGAAATCATTCAAAATAGTTGTTCTAATGAAACTTAACTTTTAATTCAGAGTGCAATTTCATATAAAACATGTATTGCAATAAAGTACGAAAAAAATATCATTTAATCAAATTCTAGTTCATTGAGTAGATAATCAGCTTTTTCATCATTGGCTTCTTCTTTTTCACGTACTTTTGATTGCATAAGAGTATGTTCGAGTACAGCTATACGAACATCAACACGAATTATATCACGATTTAATTCTTCAATAGCTTTCTTGATTTTAACCAACGGACCTAAAAATTCAACCGATATGAGATATTTTCAAACCAAAAAACTGGTTTACAAACCTCCATCTGTAACATTTTGTCCAGTCTCTTCCATTTCTTCTTTAATTTGTGATAACTCGGCTGTAATTTGAGTTAGCTGTTGAGATTTTTCTGTTATACCCGATGAAATGTGCCGATAATGTTGCTTAGCTTGTGCTAATAAATCTTGTTGTTGATGAAATTCATGAACATGATCATTCAATTGAGAATTAATATATTGCTCACCTAAACAGTAGAAAAAGTGTTAACAATTGCCGATGACAATGCTATTTTATTTACGAGTCGTAATTTTTTCTAATGATTTAGCAATATCTGTATGAAATCTTGTTAACATTTGTTCAGCATCTTTAAGTGAAGTAGCAATTTGAGATTTATACGTTAAACGTTGTTCTTGTCGTGCACGCCAATCTTTATTTTCTGCTTTAAATGTTACTTTAAGTTGTGGTAATACACGTTCAACTTCTAATTTCCATTCTGTTGCATCTGTTGTCGATTCCATAATTAGTTCAGGTCGAACTTCAGGTTCAGACATTGCAGCAGCTCCCACTGAACTTGATTTTAAACCTAATTTAGTTAAAGCTTCCATATTGAGTATAGCTTCATCTTCTTCATACTCATCGGCATCTGTATCCTAAAACGACAAAAAAATATTTTTGCGATACGATTTTATGGTATTATAAAATACCCTATTAAACATTTCTTCGTCAATTTTATTCACATCAATTTCATTGTCGTCATCTTTAGGACCTGAATCATCAGCATCTGGTAATTCATCAGGTTTCTCAGGTCTAAAAATCAAAAATACGATGTGTCAATTCAGAATATTCACTTACAATCGCCAAGTGAAACTAATTTTCTTAAGTGCATCATCAGCAAGTCGATTTAGAATATAGACAACAGATTCACCAGAACCCGATCGAAGTTTATTCGCACTGATGGTTATATCATGACCCTATAAATGAAATTTATTCAATAATTTTCAATACAATTAATATAATAGAGATTAAAATTATTTTGCGCATTAGACTCAAGATAAAGAGTCAAATCGATGGTAAAAATATTCGATAATCTTTAAGATTTTTTCAATAGTTGACTCGACGAAATAAACTTTTTTCGAATCAAAACTCAATTCATGAAGTTACCAACAATAACTGAATTGATAATGTTGCTAAAAATAGAGCAGAATGAAGTTTTTATGACGAATTACTATTGAAATCTGTCATAAACAAGAAACATGCTCGAAATATTTTTTATCGTCACAATCACAATCACAATCAAAACAATACTATGAACATATCACATGTGCATCGAGTTCCATGAAGATAAATAACTAAATTGAAATATTTACGAGCAGAAAAATATCAATCTGCTTATATAAAATTTAATACTACTCGCAGCTTTTCTTCATTATAACGCGACTCTCAGAATAAAAAATGTTCAACTTTTCGTAACTTTCTTAAGATGTAACGAATGATTTAGAAATAAATAAACCAATTATTCCAACTTATCTTATACTATACTTTGTAAAAAAAAATAAATTGTTTTCTTAAAATCTATTTCTTATGAATTGCAAGAAGAAGTTTTTCCAAAAGAAAATACGACAGACTTCACAGAACACCGAATAGAAAAACAATTTAAACTATTCAGATTAGAATTTTTTTCTCAATCATGAAGGCAGTTGAAACAATTCATTTGTGCATCGAATTATATGTACATAAAACTTACCAGTTTCTTAAATTGGGCGATAATATTTTGAAGTAAGACACTCTGGTCATCATCCTATTTTTAAAAAAAGCAAGTAATAAATATTGCAAGAGAAACAAACGTTTTCTATAGACCTCGCTTGGCTTTTCAAACCGAATACCACCTTTTTGAAAAAGCCATGCTGAAAGAGCAATAAAGGCGTGCAGCTGATCTCCTGGATTAGTTGTCACAGAGAAATGAATTCGTGATATTGGTTTCATTCTCCATTTCATAACGTATTCGTCATCATAATTAAGTAATTTTAATTTATTATGCAAATTAGCCATATCAACAAATACTTGAAAACCAGCTCCTGGACTCACATCGGGTACTTCAGCACCACCAGTAACTTTCACTGTATCGTCAGCCATAGAATATTGTTCTCTGATTATGTTCAATAAAAACTCAACAATGATCTTAGATACTTTCATAGACTCAAACATCACTCTTAACAACAACCTCTACTGATAGCACATCAAGTTTTAAAGCTGTATAATTAATTTCAGAAGATGTCGCTTGAATTTTCAATTGACTTTTATTAATTAGAGAATTTAAAAAAAGGAAGAAATTCATTCTTTCGATCATTTTATTTTATTTCCATAAGAAACGAATATTTTTATCTAGCCAATAGATAAGTAAGTCTATTGAAGAAAAACAAAACAGCTGTTGTTTATTTATTTCTATTGTTTCACAATTCTTAGTTTGATTTGTCTTAAATTATAATCAATCAATCATGACTTTAAGTGAATTAGAAGAAGAAGCTCGTAAACGTAAAGAACGTCTTGCACAATGGAAACTTAAGAAACAAAATCAAACAACTAAACGAAAAGAATATGAAGAGGATGAAAATGACAATGAAACGGAAATAAATAATAAAGAAAAAGATCTACAAGAAACAACTGTTGAATTTCCCAAACCAATATTTCGTAATTATAAGCCGAATGATTCAGCACAATTATCAGGTGCTATTATTTTACCTAAACCGAAGTTAATTGATATTAAATCAATGGTAATAAAAAAAACGAAAGTGAATTTCTTCCTTTTTAAAAGAATTTTAATTTATTTAGATTGAAGATCAACTAAAAAATAAATCAAGTGGAAATGATAATTCTGTTAGTGGAGTCATAGAAGATGTCGATTTATTATCATTAGCACCACGAAAACCTGATTGGGATTTAAAACGTGATGTAGAAAAAAAATTAAAACGTTTAGAAAAACGAACAACACGAGCCATCGCAGAGTTAACCCGTGAACGTTTATTAGCAGAACAAAAACAATCTCAAACATCTTTAGCTGAAGTTGTAGCAACAACTTCAAAATTAAACGAAGCAGCACAAGATGATGATGAGTAAAGTTTGTTACTCGGAAAGTTTCTTTATATTTTTTGTGTTGTGTAAATAAAAATCATTAAGATAAAAACGAAGAAAATATTTCAATTCAAAGAAGAAATAAATATTTTTCTTTTTGTTTTTAAGATGATGATGATTATTCTAATTAAATATATATTATTATCAATTATCGTTGTCAATGATTTATCCGTTTAATTGAAATTACTATTCCATTCTGAGTGTCATATTGACACTTTACCTTTTTTTGTTTTCTGTGTTAAATTCGATGCGTTGTTCGACAGTTTTGTCGAGTAACACTAGGGGTATTTCATCTGTCGAACAACCACTTATTCATCAATCAACAGTCAACACTACCAAACTGGAGTATTTAACTGATTGGTTTACTGGGTAAGATATCGAGAATCGTTGACATTGATATTTAAAATTAGATTTTAACAATAAAATCTATTGTTCAAGCAACAGCGAGTATTCTATCTTTGCCAATAGATAATACTTTCGTGTTCGCCTTTCATTATTCTAGAATATTATCTATTGCTATTGCAAAAAAAAATTTCCTACGCATTTCTGTAATGATTAACAATAAGGAGATATTTGTTGCAAAGTTTCAAAGTCTCAATGGTGCGTATGTATTGATCATTCTTGTTAAATACTTTCTATCTTTGTCTTTCTCGAGTTTGCTAACATTGTAGTAACTCGTAAATGTACATTTGCTTAAGGCAATATTAATTTAAAAACAAAAAAAGTTGAGTCGACTAAAATATATTTATTCAAGAATCGACTTCACGGAGTATACAATTGGCTTTGTCCTATTATTTAATTTTTCTACTACAAGAAAAAGTATTTTCCTTGTCCAGTATGTCTATTTGTATTGATTGTTATTATGTAAATGTATAAATAACGAATATATACTGTTAGTTTGAATTATCCTAGTGAATGTCGATGATCGGTTAAGATAGGAATGACCTTCTCGTATATTTACTGAAGATGAGATATATGTGATATTTGTTTTTTCTCTCTCGTTGTCATCGAGCTCTTGCTGTTCATTGATTGATCGAGCTAGTTCTGTTTTTTTCTCCCCTTAATAACCTTGCTTATTCTTTATTTGTTTTCATAAGGCGTGTCTATCTGTCGTTTCAAGAGAAGATCATTAGTCTTTTTACTTTATCATCTTATTGATCAACTTTTAATAGAATTCGTTAGTAATTAAAATAAATGTTTCAACATAAACAAAAATATTTGACGTCAAAATCGCTTTGAAACAGGAGGAATATCAAGGGAAACAAAAACAGATCGATTTTTAGATAGTTGTTTAACATAAAGAGCATTAAGCGTGAGTATGACAGTTCAGATGGGACAGCCAGCTAAATTGGACTTGAGCGGATCAATGTGTCATCACCGAGGGAATAGTGGCGTGATCGTACGATGTTTGTTTTGATTGATTCTTCTTTTCCCTCGGCTGTTGTAACGTCGTCATTTTCTCTTGTTCTTTTTCTCACTTGAAGAGAAGCGCGTGCGAGGTAAAAAAAAAAGAAATACGAAGAAACGACCAACAAAGCAATGAGACCACACTGATGACAATATTCTACTAGACTATGGGTATTCTTAGCTTGTCATTTATATTCACTTCCGCTTCATCCAATACGTAAGTTATTTTGATCTAGGCAAATTGCAATGCGAGAAAAATCTTCCCGTTACGCGTTAACTATTGAATTGTTCCTATTTCGAGAGAAAAATGTTTCTTTACTAGATTTACATTTTTTATCAGACAAGTATAATTGTTTATGTTTTTCTCGTTTGAATCCTAATCTAATATTGATACGATTGGAAGAAAGGAGAAACATAGTTTTTTCCTCGTCATAAAAACTTCATTAGAAAAGAAAAAGAAGATGCAAGTTCGCTGTTGTTGCTCAATCCCTTTGTGTATTTAGTAGGTCCACGAAAGAAGAGTAGACAACTAAGCCCTCGAGAGAGATTACGGCAACAGAATAGTGGACGACAACGATCAAATCGATTGACCTTCATAACGTGCTTTGTATGTTGTTTAATAGTTATTCGTTGTCAAATCCTAGTGGAAGCAAACCTTTTCCTTTTCTTTCTCTCTCTCTCTTGTTCTACCTGTTACAAATGTAAAATGTGTTGTTGATCGAGCAGCAAGGATCTGTATAGGAATGAGAAACAGAACGAGAGTAAAACAGCAGAAACAGCAGCATTGGCAAAATAATGACATCATAAAAAGAAAACGGACGCTTGAGAAGAACGAGAAGAAGCAGAAGGAACCATCTGGAGACGAAGTGGCATCATCTCTTCATTTACTATGTTCGTCTTTCCACTCTGGTACGTCATTTTCAACTAAACAGATGATCATATCTTGACAACTATTTTAAATTGATATTTTTCTTGTCGTGAAAGGCGAAGAGAACGAGATTTTGATAATCATGAAAAAAACTGAAAATATTTATGTTCTTTTTTCTCTGTCTACGTATATCTGATGAACTAATACAGATTCTATATGATTTTCTTTAATTCTCTTCATTTTAAAATAATAATATAACTAGTGCGTTCAAAAGATAATGAGCGATGTCACATAAAATTATTCAATATATTGTGCGAATGATACTGAAAATTTGTTTAAATATTAACAAAAACAAAGAGTTAATTTTGATTTTCGAGCGGATGATTTCAAAAGTAATAAAATCTTTTACATTGTATACGTACAATGATTTCATCTTTTTCTATCGTTTATTGATCATATGTTAGGATGATTTATTTTTCGTGTTTTAATCATTGTTATTCAAACGTATGAATATGCAGACAAGAGAATGAAACGAAAAAAAAGAATGAAAGCACACCTGTAAAAAAGCTTTTAGAATTTTTTCTTTTCGAGATGTCTATGGTTTACATTACATTTTATAACATGCATTACTTCTCAAATAATGTTGTGACAAAGGAAAATGATAAGCATTTTTTCTTTAACTCAGTGAGCAGTTTTACGTTTAATTTTTATCAAGCAAGTTCAAAGTTTTATCTATCAAAGGCAGAAAGAAAAGAAAAGCTATTTTTCAATACATACTTTTTTCTTTTCTGTTGTTATAAATTACTAAATAATGAACACTTTATTACGGTAAGAATTGTTTTTACACGACATCATCGTTGAGTCGTACGATTTAATATTTACCTGTAATGAGTCATAGTTTCAGTAGATAATAACAAGTCGTAGTTGTAGTTCTGATGATGACTTTGCAGAAAAAGACAACAATTTCAGTAATCTTATTGCATAGAAGCAACGACAATGCGTTTACGGTCGAATACAAATATTTCAGATTCGGAGAAGTCTTTTTGGATAAACCCAATATCGAATCTATTTGATGTTTTATTATCTCTGTCGAGGTACGTAGTTAGCAAAAAAAAAATCGACATTTAAATCAGAAAAACCTTGTCAATTGTCAAACATTAGATAGGAGAAATGATGAAATGATGAAAAAAAAATTCGTTGATGCGTAGCCAGTTTTATTTTCTTGTAAACTTTTTTACTTTTTATCGATACATAAAAAAAGACGAAAAGAATGATCATGTTCATTAGTCGAAAAACAATTCTGTACAGAATTCGACGCATACATTTTTTACGTTGCAATGTATTATCTAAACTGTCAAATTATAGGCATATGTGAGTTTTTAGTTCTTTTTTCAATGCTGAATAGAAAAAAAATGCCAATTGTTCGATAAAAAAATACAGATCTTGTTTACATCGATGGTTGATAGGCAGGACAAGAAAAAACTACGTAAGATCAATGAGTTTTAGTTGACCAAAACAAGTAATTTTCTTTTGATAGCGTTGGATCAATGACAGGTATATAAAAGAAAAAAAAAAGTAGAAGAATAATGCGCGTAGAGCAATCGGCCGTGACTAGTTTATATATCTTTTCTATACGTATGCGAAATAATCGATGCGTGCCCTTTCTCTTCATTTAGGCTCCATTTTTGCGTAAATATTAAGAATATCTATATTTTCAAATTATCTTTATACTTCTTTTCTTTTAAGGAAACAACGTCGAAAAAACGAAGGAACTGGTCCAACAGGTAAAGATTCATCCCCACCTCCGAGTGATCTTTCAAATGGTGGACTAATAAATTCTACTGAGAATCAAAACCAATCTTCTATCTCATCAATACCTCCAACCCAATCACATTCTTTCAATTCCTCAACCAATAATGGTTTACTTTATCTTCAACCAGAATATGCTATTTTTACTCGATCACTTGCTGAATGTAATATTCATGAATTAATCCGACAACCAAACGGTGTTGATAAAAATGAGTGGATTGCAAATAATAGTTCGTATTTTTTCGTTTGTTTTTTCTAAATTGAAACTATCTTCATGCAAAAATTTAACAATTTTTCTTTAAAGTTGTTGCTTTTTTCAATCATGTGAACGCTTTGTACAATGCAATGTGTGACTTTTGTACACTAACAACATGTCCAGTAATGACCGGTCCTCAGAACAGGTTTATTATCTATTTTATTTTAATTATGACGAAACATATAATTATATTTTAGTTCCTATTTGTGGGTTGATGAACGAAATAAAAAAGTAAAATATTCTGCGCCTCAATACATTGACCTTTCAATGATGTTTATTCAAAAAACACTTTCCGACGAAACTATATTTCCTACTAGACTTGGTAATATATAAACAAATTTTAACATAAAGTTGAGAAAAAGAATTTATTTTTAGATCAACAATTTCCTTTATATTTTGATGCGCTTGTACGTAAAATGGTGCGTCTATTATTTCATGCTGTGGCACATTTATATGCTGTTCATTATCGTCAATTAATTGAATTACAATTACATCCACATTTGAACAGTTTATTTCTTCATTTTATTTTATTTTTAATCACATCGAATATAATCTCTTCTGATTGTTCAATTGTACATACGAATTCTAGTGGAACACTTTCATCTTCATTGACAACACCCGGTCAAACAGATGCACGTGAACTTCGAACAGAACTCGAAACTTTAGATGTTTTATATCAATTATTGGCTAACCAATGGCGACATGCTTACGGTCAAGCATGTGCACAAAAACGAAAAGCAGCAAACAATGAATGAAATATTAAAATTCATTTGTCAATAACGGAGAAGAACAGATTTTTTAAACCGATACGAATATAAATATATAAATATATATGTATATATATATATTTATACGTATATATATAATGAGTGCTCGACTATTTCCGAGTATGATTTCCTTTTTTTTTCTTTTTGTTCTTGATCATTTTTTCTTTACATGTCTTTGCTGCATAAAAAAAACAGTGACAGTCTATTAACGAATTTCACATTGTTTCTCGCTCCGTATTTGTGTCTTTTCTCTTCCTTATGAAAAAAAAATAACAACGACCAATGTGTCTTAGTTATCTTCATTTATTCAAAATAACAAAGACTGACAAAATAATACAATAAATATCTACATTTTATTATTTTTATTGTTTTCAAAAGATTTGAAATGTAGCAAACATTATTTTTCTTTGGTTTTTTTCGAAAACAAAAATTATTTAATCGAGAAAGTCAACCATCAACAAAAACGAATGATAAGATAAATATTGTCACTTACACAGTTCTCTCTGCAATTTTTTCATGGATATTATTCTTCTAGCTAATTGAATAAATGTTTAGATTAAAATTCAATCTAAGAATTTCTCTAATCAATTGAAAACGATATATTAAAACTGATGCATAGATTTTTTTTGGAATCTAATATGAAATAACTAAAATAGATTCGTTTGCATATTCATGTCCTTTTCGGTGAATGAGTAAAGAATTCATCATTCTATCACGTACTCGTATAACGATAAACTTAACTTTCGATCATGTCTCAGAACAAAAAATTTTACAAGATGGACGGAACTGAGCCGTCCAAATTTATAGAAAAAATTGTCCTTGAGATTCTTAATCGGTTTGTATTATTTGATAGATTTTCTTTGAAACAATAATGAGATTTTTTCTAGTCCACGTTTCTGGATGCATCAACGACATTTGCGTCGTATAGAGGAATTTAATATTGCAAGTTTTAATGCAAGACAAGCAGCTTATACGTTTCTTACGCAATACAATGGAGAAAAGTTTGTTAAAGCCCAAAAAGTAAAGACATAGATTTAGGCTTGTTAAAAATTCTGACTGATTATTAGGCTAATATTTTGTACAACAATGAAGAAATACATCTTTGTGTGCATAATCTGATTTGTAAGAAATGCTTTGTTTGTACTATTTCGATATGTTGCTCGTTAATTATAATTAGATGGAATAATCGATAACAATTCAGACAGAATTTCTGACACCATGGTCGAATTTATCTACCGAAGAGGAATATTTAGGTATGCATTTTCTTACAATCATTAAGGTTTTATTTTTAAAATATTCAGCGAGATAACATGGCCAGCAACTGTAGTCAAACAAGTAGACGATAAACAAATGGAAAATCATGAAAATGAACGGGTGAGCAACAATTAAATTATCTTAATTATTTATTTTTTGAAAAGAAACAGTCAAAATTGAACACAATCAAACCAGACGAAGCTAAAATAATCACACCTATGCACATGTCAAATATTCATATGGATAATGATTATTCACCGATTGATGTTGAAAAGACAGTTGATGTTATTAATTCGTAAGTTACTAAAAATACTCTCTATCGATTTATTTGAGAATACATAATAGGAATATACCATGGAAATCATACCATAATCTGGATGATGATGATGATCAATTTTCATCAGTGCTATCTACAAAGGAAAATGTCGGGAGTCCGTTAGATGAAAACAGTCAAGATCGCCACTCGACTTCTGCTTTGAAAAGACTCATTATCAGTGATGGTCAGTAGTTGTGTACCTTTTATTTTCTATTATTTACTTATTGTTTTCTTTTCTTTTAGATCGAACATTTCACTCAAGTCATGCCATAGATGATGAGAATCATTTTCGAAGTTCAATTCATATTCATATTAATCAAATTAAGAGTCTCTAATACCATTGAAAATTTGTACTTCTGATTATACTCGAGATTTTTTATGAAATTTCTATGCTGACTAAATAGATTTATTTCAGCATAGTTAATCAATTCTTTCTTCAAATTGAAAATTTCTTTCTTTTTTTGTTTGCGAATTAAATAATTGATGATTTTTATTAACTATAGATTTCTCTTCATTTATTTAAATAATAATGAGTTAGAAACTTCGTAGGGCATAATAAGTATGGATTTATTTTGCATGAATTATATTATCGTCGTTATCTACTAAAAATTAAGATATGTTTTTCATTTATAAATTTCATAACGCGAATTGTAGTTATTAGTGTGATTAATTTATATCTAATGATAGGTTTCTAACATGTAATAATTCTCCAGACTATTAACGTTTCCTTTTTTCGAGTACCAAATTATGAACGAGAAATAATATTTGTATGCAATAAAAAGAAATTTACATATTTATTCTACAAGTTAAGATATTTACTTAGATAAATTCATTCGTCTATAATTTGAATGAATCCTTGAAATTCGTTTTTCACAATCGATAAAACATTGTGTGGGGATAACATTTATACCTATGTGAGTTTTATTACTATGATCTGTTGTTATATTTGAAAATCTTTTACGAAATAATTAAAACTACAAAGTAAATCGAACGAAATTGTTCAACACAATCTCATTTTTTTAGAATTTTCAAAACCGAATGTAATATATTCCATCATAAGTCTCTTCTAGTTTGCTATAATTGAGTTATTTGCAAATTTTTCTTTTTTAAAGTTCGCACCACTATTTTTGTTGACTCCTCTCCATAGAATACGCACAAATTTAAGAAAACAAATCACGCCAGGTGTTGTTTGACTTAATCTGAATATTGTTCAATGAAAATTTGTGAATTGAATTTTTATTTGATTAGTAATTATCTATTTAGACAAATATTCCAAAGTACTCTTAAAAAATATCAACATAAAATGATTCAAACAATGTTCAAATGTATACATTTCGGAAGAGGATTAAATATCTTCCAAAATATGAATAATTCTACAATAGTTCATTTTAACAAAGTCAGTTACTGTGCGGAAGTAACTATTGACTTCTATCGTCGTAACTATGAATACATTTAATAAAAATAATCTATGTAATATTCAATACAACAGAAGAAAGATATCTAATATTATTTTTATCATGAGTCATAGATATATAAAGAGAATAGAAATGAAATAATAGATCTTTGCATAAACGTACTACGTAACTCGAATTGATCAGACTCAATAGCTGGTCATATTTTGTTCTATTGATGAATCACTTAGAACCTTACTTTTGAATATAATGGAATAATTATTAAAACATTCCATGCATAAATCCACTTGAAAGAAAAAATTATTGAAAAGGTTACTCGTAGTCAACCGTAAAACTCTTTTAAACATTATTGATAATAATAGAAATTTGAAAAAGACTTCAAGAATATCAACAAGAATTATTATTTTTATTCAATTCATTTTCTTACTAATAAAAACCCTTTTTACAAGTAGCAGTAAAACTAGAACCCTATTTGTTAGATCGACTTATGAAATAAGATAATTAGTATATAGTTCTTACTTGGCAATATATTCATTGAAATCTTGACGTTTTCTATTCATATGTATGCATATTTATATTTCATTTCTTACCAATTTACTAAAAAACAATGCAATTGACATGAACGCATTCTAATCATTGTATTACTCAAGTTGATTTCTTAAACTTTTTCCCCAATTGCTTTTTCTAAACAGTTATCTTCATAGGAATATTTATATTAAAAACTAACCGATTATATATTCTGATGAAGCTAGAAAGTTTCTACTTTACAGTGCATTTATCGGTCGTTACGTGTTTGTGTTTTGTTTATGTTATGTTTTACTCTTAAGAGAAAAATTCTTCCTAGAATTAATATAAATTGATATCGAAATTAATGTGCTCTTCTTGTATAAAGTTACACAGTATTTTATATTTATTTTCCGACCTATGATGGAGATAACAACTAAGTATACTCGATGACGAAGTCTAAATTACTTTATGCTCTTATTTTTTATATCTAAGCTCAGAATCATAGGAAAATTCAACATCTAACAAAATTTGTATTTACACCTTCAAAGCGTTTTCTATGATAGCACTAAAATTCAAATAGAAACGAAGAGAACAATAGAAAAAATAATTATGAGAGTCATCTTAATAATTGCACTTACTTTGTAATTAGATTATACTTCAGTAATTGAGAAAAAAACTAAAATCAGAACGGAGTGATGTCATAATATCCTTACAACCGGTAACGACTTATTAGCACAAACACGCTACAGTATCCACATTAGGTGCATCCACTTTTGGGTATCCGAATTTGGGTATTCACATTTGGGTATCCACTTTTGGGTATCCACATTTGGGTATCCACATTTATATATATATATATGTTTTGAAAAGCTGAGGAATTTGAGTTGTTTTGGTGTATCCACTTTTTGGGTATCCACTTTTGGGTATCGACATTTATATATACATAAATGTGGATACCCAAAAGTGGATACGCTTAATGTGGTTGCATCAGATTGTAGATGCACTAAGAATGGATACTCCATAAACTATTGCTGCATAGGGTATTGTGACGTAAAACTCTCGATACCCAGTGTAAAGGTATTTTGACATCTATGGAGTGACTAACAATTTTCTACATATTAGCGTCTACTCTCGTAATGTCAAGGAAAGTCAGACGACGATATTCAACTATTTGATGTGGTTCGACGTTGTCAGTTGATTTATTCGAATTATGTGAATGCAGGGAAAGATCGGTAACATAGAAGCGTTTTAGCATTGGAAAAGCTTGAGCTATTCGTAAGAAGAATTCATGTTCAAGTGGAACCACATCATATACGCTTAATTCGCTGACATTTTTGAATACAATGTTTGGAAATATATTACCAATACCCAGGAGCGTGATAAACTCAAAAGGAAGCGTAAAAGCATGATGTGTAGCTGTGTTAACAGAAAACGAAACAATATTCGATACTTCTTGATATCTTGTATTCGTATAATTTTGTTTAACATTATTATTTGATAAATAACGAGCCAAATCATTTCTATTGTTTTCCGTACTAAGATAAAAGTTGAATGAGTGAAGTCGTAGCGTGTTCACAGAAAATTCATTCATAAGATTAATCGGATCTATGTAAACACTTGGACAAGCGATACGCAAATAGAAAGTTAATTTTTCCAGGTATAACATACGACGAACAAGAGATACGAATTTATCATTATATTCTTCAATTAAACCATAATGTATTAATGAAAACACCTTCATTTTCGGTAGCTCATTCTAAATAACGAAAATATAAGTTAGTCGAAAGTGGTTTTTAAATAAAAAACCCATTATGCTACCCAATGGGAAAAAGCAGCTCCACAGGATTCACGATCTGCTTTTCCCCCTGGATGCTACCGATTGTTTTTCTAGAAAGACTATTCTATTCGATAATTGGAAGAGTTCAAATATGATACTAACTAATGAATCAAGTAAATCAACCTTTGTTTTCGCTGTATCTATCTTAATTGCTATTTAGTACATGTCTATTGAGTTTCAAATTACTTGAATATGAAAGATCTTATCATAAAAAGTCCATGTAAAGTAGTAGCAGTTGAGAATTGATAATTTATACATACGTTCATAATTATTAATTTGTTTGGATTATGGCAGTAAGAATCAATTATCTATCTGTTCCATCATATAAGTTAAAACTTGATGAACTCGATTCTCACGAGTGATAACTTATTATCAGACAAGCTTAAGGAATATCGAAGAAATTGTAAGTATCTATTTTCAAATTTCTCTAGTTCTCAAAATTGAAAAATATCTTTTGCTTCTAAAGACTAGCTTGAGCCAATTTTTCTTAGACTCGGTTCCGCTTTTTTGGACTACAACTAAAGATGCCTACCAAGTTGTGGACAATTGATAAATCCGTACCCATACAATAACTTCGAACAATAAGTGTACACAAGTGTTTGAGACGACCATCATGTAAACAAAGACAATCAGTGAAATATGAGACATTAATACATAAATAAGTAAGAGTTGAAGATGAAAAAGTATTCGATGGTAAATAGCAAACTGATAAACTTGGATATGCAGGAATCGTTGTTCCAGTCACATTTAGATGATTCAGATTCTCGAAGGAAGTTAAAACCCGAGCAAAAACGTTTTTTGTATAAACTTTCAATGATCCTACTTCACGTTCACAATTTTTAACAAAAGATCAAGTTTTGTAATCTGTCTTTTGAAAATATGTCAAAGCGACGAATCATCTAATTTAAAATATAATAAAGAAGCGTCATCAATAGTATATTGTATGCAGTATCGTTGTACTGTGCTGCTTCGGTTGATGGAATGTAGGATACTTCCTTACCTGCGAAATAACGTGAGGAATTGTCACGTTGAAAATCATTAATTTTCAACTCAGTCAAATTGGGATAATGAGCAGCAAGAAGAATACGTTCCATGAACGCTGGTTCAACAGTGAGACATTCCACATTGTCATGAATCTGAGGTAATATATAATTGAAAAGGCGATCAAGTACTGAATCAACCGTCGTCCTATTAAGAATAATTGATACTAAATTTAAGGTTTTAGAAAAAGTTTCTTCTCGTGCTAACCTGTTAAGTCGTCCATTATCAATGCCAAATAATGCATAAAGAACGTCAACATTGTCAAGTTTCTTCAATATATCCAATAACACTTCGTCAGGTAGATCAAGAAGTTGAACACTAGATTGATTCATGTTTAATATTGACTTTGATGTTCTTGTCAATATAGAAATGTATATATTGATGAATGTTTTTTGTGTCGCTAATGACCATTGGCATAAATGAAAAATAGAATGGCGGAATGAACTCATTTTGAGGAGAGAAAAAATTACATCGCTGCATCACTCAATGAAAACGTTGACGTGCATACATATAAATTTTCATATGATGTTCGGTTATGCGGACGTCGAAAAATATGTCATGTTCGAACTTCGAAAAGGAGAAGAAATTATTTTATGTTGAAGATTGAAAAGCTGAGGAAGTTTTGTCTCTCTGGTAGATAGAATTAATTTTTATTGAAGCCGTAGACTAGAGTCCTGCAGGTCAACCTTGTCCTACCCTACCCTACCCTACCCTGCCCTGCAGGGCAGGATAGGGCTAGGGTACAAAACTCGTAGGGTAGGGCAGGGTAAGGTTACAAAAAAAATATTTAGGGTATAAGTAGGATGTAGCTCATACAAATAAAAATTTTATAGAGTAGAACTTAATATATATTTCTGACATCTTTTTGATCGAAAACAGTGTAAAGAGTGATATCATAATCTAAATCGAATGGGTAGAATAACAACGATCGGAAAACAATGGCCTATTGTTTAGTGCTATTTTTACATAAGCTGACGAGTTCAATCACTTTTGATTATTTGTCTAGTAAATGTGCATGTAAATGTAATAAAAAATATCTTCGAAATCATCTCGACATGAACGTATTGTTAGTACAAACGGGCGAGTTTTGGAAGAGAGAAGGCAAAATTT